GGGGGGGGGGGGGGGGGGGGGGGTAGTTTTACAAATACTAAGATTCAAGTGGTAATTTTGGAGAAACTCTTGACGTTTTTAAAGGAGGAATCCACGTTGCAGTGACACACACACACTCACAATATAAAATTGAGCTAGACTACTATTAATAGTTGTTTTCGTCAAAAGTTGGTTTTGTTATGGAATTCATTATATCTTCGGTCGATTACAACAAATTCAAAAGAAATAGCCTTTTTATAAGACTTCTTTTACACAACAAAAGAAAAATTACAACTTTTTAGAAACAAACGCAGGATCGTTGTTTGGATCGCTGCTTGCGTGGGATCTTTGCCTATGCCGGGAGCGCTTTGACTCGTGGACCACCAAATCACAGATTCTGATTGAACCGTGAGGGGTTTAATGATTCTTCCTTCGTTTATCGAAGTAAGAATTTGAAGCGAATATCTTATCGATGTAAGATGTTCACTCTTTCAAAGATCAAGTCTGAGCTTAGATCTCTAGGAATGGCCAAAAGCTTCTTGAGGATGTTTGTGAAGAAGAAAGACTCTCTCTCTTGCTCTAATTCACCAAAACTCAAGGCTCTCTGCTCTAATCTGCTTTGGAAATGCTCCGCCCCTGTCCATGATGACCATAGGGGGGGTATTTATAGCCTCCTTAGACGATAACTGAAGAAATAGCCGGTCAATAACTGTCTCTTTAGGCGCGGCAGCTGATGCTGTCGCGGCTAAAGGGCGCGACAGTCGACACTGTCGCGGCCAAAGAGCGCGGCAGTCGACACTGCCGCGGCTAAAGGGGCAGTTACACCCACGTTCATACGTGTTTGAAACAGTTCTCCCACGACCTTTAACCACCTTTTTCGTGGTTTAACTGCTTTTCCACATCAGCACACGTTCTATTTCTGATACTCCGCCACGTGGACTTTAAATAATCATCAGATAACTGTATTATAACTGCTGTAGCATCCTGCTTTAACTGCCGCGGCACCATAGGTTGCAGCGGTTAAGCCGCGACACCATAGGCTGCCGCGCCTTAGCCGCGGCACCTTGGTCTGCCGCGCCTTAGCCGCGGCACCTTGGTCTGCCGCGCCATAGCCGCGGCACCATGTCCTGCCGCGCCGCCATATGTTGCTTGATGACGTGTATATTATTCTTCTATATCGTCTTGAGTGGTGTTTGAATGTCTGTAAGCATTTTTTGACGCCTACATGTAGTTATTCATTTCTATCGATAATTATAACCTTATTGGAGGAATTCACAATTCATGCACTCTGTTTTTGCAGTATTAGAGGTTATTATGTATATGCTTGTTTTTTGCTAGTTAGTTATTACAAATCTAACTCATTTTTTGTATTATTACATTGACGAATTGGTGAACCATTCGCTAATATTCTAATTCAATCGTTTTTCGGTGAATGGTTTCTGTAAATCTTCTTATGGATAAGTTATTCACAAAATATCAACTATTCATGGATCTTATGAAGCGTCACTATTTATGTTGGAAGCTTGGTTTTTTGCTAGTATGTAGTGAAACACAGCACATGTTCTTTCTACCTACTTTTTCTTTTACTAGTTACTGCAAAAATCTAGCTCATTTTTTGTATTATTACATTGACATATTGGTGAATCATTCACTAATATTCTCATTCAACTGTTTTTCGGGGCATGGTTTCTGTAAATCTTCTTATGAATAAACTATTCACAAAATATCAGCTATTCGTGGATCTTATGAAGCATTACTCTTTATGTATATTGGAAGCTAAGGAAAAAAAATAGTACTATCTATCAGTGTCAATAAAGCATTCAGAATTTATTTGTATAGCGTGACCTATTTTTTCCATAACATTCTATTCATTAGTTGAGGTTGCTGTTGGTTGTAATTCTACTGAAATTTTCCTGCCGTAACATGTATTGAGTTTTACATCATTACAATATATCGTCTTCCAGTCTAGATGTTCTGGTAGATTCTTGGATGTTTAGACATTCAATATCTAAGTCATGAATCATGTACTGAATGCTAAGTAGAAATTACCTATGCTGTTTGATTCTTCTGGTGCTTTCTATGAAATTTTCTCAAGCAATTAACTTCTTGCAGAACCGGCTGCTTGCAATGAACTATATAAATGAGGGCTCTGATGATAAGCTTTTTGAGGCTCACAGGTATTTCTAACTCTTTACAAAGTATATATGCTTTCACAGGATTCCCATTCTGTTCGGTACCTGTTTATGGATATTTCTATAATATGAGATTATCAGTGTATTTAGAAGTCAATTTTCGATAATAGTTGGTTTTTATTCCAAACCTGGTAAGATTCAATCTAGGAGTTAGCTTTTATGTTTGAACTTTTTAAGCTTCATTTTAGATGAATCAACTCTGTTTGATTTTGACTATAGAAGAGGTGATACTTTTCGATCTCATTGAGCGCTTCTATTGTTTTGCTGCCCATCTATTGTGACAGGTTTATGCCACACGATTGCTTTGTCAAGTTAATGAATGTTATTGAATGCCTTGGGAATTAGAAATATTTGTCGAACTGTTCTTCAAATTCGTTGGTCCAAAAGAAATCTGATGAGAGCCTGATAAAATTTATATTGTAGTTAATGCATTATGATTCATTGTTGCTCTGCCGTGTCATATTTAAAAGGATGGAAAACCTGTTTTATAGATGCTTTGCAAATGAGAACTTTTTTTTGCCATTGCAAATTTCCTTGGTTCATTAAGATCGGAGTGTCAATGTTATGGATATCCTCTCTGTTTTTTTGTCTCTTTTTGTGTAGCTGTATTGTGAATTTTTTTATGTTCCACGAAGTTCCTGTATTGAAAGATGCATATATGGTACTTTTGATCAAATTATCTTTGTTGGAAACAAATGTAGAACCATGTCTTTTTAGATGGAATATCTGATTTCTTGCTAAAATTTTCTTATTGAAGTACCATCCGAATGAAATCTGCATGCAATAGACACGAGTGTTATATAGCAGCCTGTTAATAATTTATTTTGATAATTCTGCAACTTCATTATTACTTGTTTAGTTGTTTACAAGTTCAGTGCTGTCATTTTGACTTCAACACGGAGTGAACATATAAAACTACTTCATTTTTATAGCATGCCTGTTAATCATGAAAATGATTATGAGTTTTGTATACCACACCTGTTAATCATTTTTATTGGTAATTCTGCAACTTCAGTATTTAGTTGTTTACAAGTTCAGTTCTGTACTTTTAATTTCAACAGGGAATGAGCACATAAAACTACTTCAGTTAGTGGTACAAATTCATAGTAGTTTGACTGACTGATGTTTAATTGTTCCTCAGGGAATGGGGAATGCGATTTATGAAGCTATACCCTCAATATACCAGTTGGGATAATCCTAAAGATATGGAACGCCCATTAGTAATTGGATATGTGTCACCTGATTATATTACTCACTCTGTATCATATTTCATTGAAGCACCTCTCTTTTTCCATGATTACACAAATTACAAGGTGATTGTGTACTCTGGTGTTGTAAAGGTATGGTTATTTCTCTCATGCACAAGTGTCACCACTTAGTTAACTTGAAGTCTTTTTTCAAGTATCTTGAAGTCTTTTTTCAAGTAATTTACAACACGTCTTTAAGTCAAGTTTATGGGGGCTGTATGATATGTAAACCAATCAATTTTTCTACTTCTACTTTTTTTTTTCTTTCAATCATTTTCAGTAAATTATAAAGTCTCTGTCCTTTACGCTTAAACATAGTTAGTGTCCTTGTGTTTTACTGTGATATTGTAGGCAGATGCCAAAACCCATAAATTCAAGGACAGGGTGCTGAAAAAAGGAGGGCTATGGAGGGATATATATGGGATTGATGAGAAGAAGGTTGCTAGCATGGTTAGGGAGGATAAAGTTGACATACTGGTGGAGCTTACTGGTCACACTGCAAATAACAAGCTAGGGATGATGGCCTGCAGGCCTGCTCCCATCCAGGTACTGCCCTTATTTAAATTCACATCTGTATCACCTTCTCTGCGTTTTTGTTCCTCTTGATATTTTTAAAATTTATAAATTTAGCATCCTTGTCATTTATCATGTTTCCTGGAATTGCTTGAGTCGCTTTGTTTTTTACATACATCCATGTAAAACATGCTCCTTAATGACCTTCACCTCCACAGTTCTTATTTACACTCATACCCCTTGAAACCTCCAGTCTTGTGGCCTAAACACTGTCTGCGAGTAAACTCAACTAGAAAGTGGCAGTAAACTGCCAAATTTTGCTGAGATACAACAGGATATAGGTTGTTCTTCTATTAAAGAGCATCCTTTTATTTTCATGGATATTTCTACTGTGAAGCTATATTAATGTCAGTCATATATTGGAGATGACACTTTTTGTTGCGTACTTGCCATTCCTTTTGTACCTTTTATCATTTTTATCTTCATGTCTATCATGTTGCTTCCATGTCTGCATGCCAACTTGTGCTTCTTAGCTTATTTCCTCATGTTAAAATGAACTAAGACTGAAGATCCGCATGTAATTATTTCCAATAACTACTTTTAACAATGATAATTTTCTTTATGAATTTTGCCTCTCATAGTTACTTTTTCTCCCACTATGCTTTCTTAGGCAACATGGATTGGTTACCCAAATACAACCGGTCTGCCAACAATTGATTATAGAATCACAGATGCACTGGCTGATCCCCTTGACACAAAGCAGAAGTGAGTTGAACTTTTGAGATTTGATTTTAAATTGTATAGATAGAGATATTCTGACTAATTGTGGCTGCAGGCATGTTGAGGAGTTGGTTCGTTTGCCTAAATGTTTTCTCTGTTATACGCCTTCGCCGGATGCTGGTCCTGTTTGTCCCACACCAGCTCTTTCTAATGGTTTTATTACTTTTGGGAGCTTCAATAATTTGGCAAAGGTAGTGTTATTATTGAATGTCTCTTTTAAAAATGTTTAGCTAAACTGAATTACAGCTTTGCGTTGTTCATCTTTTTTTTTCTGGCAGATAACGCCAAAAGTATTAAAAGTTTGGGCAAGGATATTATGTGCTGTTCCTAACTCCCGGCTTGTTGTCAAGTGTAAGCCTTTCTGTTCTGATAGTGTAAGACAGAGATTTCTTTCAATTTTGGAGCAATTAGGACTGGAGCCGCTACGTGTTGATCTTCTGCCTCTAATTCTTCTCAACCATGACCATATGCAAGCATATTCACTAATGGATATCAGGTAGATAGCTGAATCTTTTTTTTTTGTCCCCATCAACTGTCTCGTGTTCTTCATGCTTTAACTATTTGTCATTCTTTTAGTATTTGTGTTGTACCTTTTAACATCTATGGAACTTTTACTATATATCGATGTCTTTTCCGATATATTTATTATTTTGGTCTTCTTCAGTATAATAAAGAGTTCTGTTGGTCTGGCATTTTATGGGTTTTATAGGATCCAAACTAGTAAATTGGTTAGTTTTTAAAGTTTTGTCTATTTGATACTGACTTTTTTTCCATATCAAGATGGTCATTGTTTATCATGAGGATGTTTGTGAAGAAGAAAGACTCTCTCTCTTGCTCTAATTCACCAAAACTCAAGGCTCTCTGCTCTAATCTGCTTTGGAAATGCTCCGCCCCTGTCCATGATGACCATAGGGGGGTATTTATAGCCTCCTTAGACGATAACTGAAGAAATAGCCGGTCAATAACTGTCTCTTTAGGCGCGGCAGCTGATGCTGTCGCGGCTAAAGGGCGCGACAGTCGACACTGTCGCGGCCAAAGAGCGCGGCAGTCGACACTGCCGCGGCTAAAGGGGCAGTTACACCCACGTTCATACGTGTTTGAAACAGTTCTCCCACGACCTTTAACCACCTTTTTCGTGGTTTAACTGCTTTTCCACATCAGCACACGTTCTATTTCTGATACTCCGCCACGTGGACTTTAAATAATCATCAGATAACTGTATTATAACTGCTGTAGCATCCTGCTTTAACTGCCGCGGCACCATAGGTTGCAGCGGTTAAGCCGCGACACCATAGGCTGCCGCGCCTTAGCCGCGGTACCTTGGTCTGCCGCGCCTTAGCCGCGGCACCTTGGTCTGCCGCGCCATAGCCGCGGCACCATGTCCTGCCGCGCCGCCATATGTTGCTTGATGACGTGTATATTATTCTTCTATATCGTCTTGAGTGGTGTTTGAATGTCTGTAAGCATTTTTTGACGCCTACAATAGTATCCATCATGCGGATACTATCAACCCAATTTCAAAAAAGTGAACCTAAAAATAAAAATCCAAATTGGTAGATACGATCTACTACACATGAACTAGTTAGATGCGATCTACGTACATTCAGATCGAGCCATTGGAGCCTTTGAGTAAGCATTGTTTCAAAACAAGCATTTATGTGACTATCTTATGTATAACTGTAGCTCTCGTTTTTTGGAGGTTTTCTGTAAAACTATTTCCACGGGATGTGGTTTTCTCCATTTAGAGTGTTTTCCTTTTTCGGTTAAAAGCAGTTACCCAAATTATGGTATGAACTTTGCAATGCTTTGTTGCCGTTATTGTTGCTTGTATCAATTCCATGACAAACTTTGTCTTGTTAAGAATGTTAAATGTCCTACCACTGCACAAAAACTGCTAAGTTGTGATAAGGAGTGAGAGTTATATAACGTCCTCGTGCAATATGTTTTATGGATCCAACATCATTTTTAAGGATTGAGATCTAGAATGAAAACGACTATATTGAATGCATGGCCGATGAGATCTAAATGAGCATTAATGGAATTCAAATATGGAATTCTCTGATACCATCTTAGACACCCTGCACTGCACCAGAACTCCGACCTTAGTTTCAAACCAAGAACACTCTAAGTAGGCATCAAACAAATTAATGGAAGTTACTGTTTTCCTATTCTCTCCACTGAGCTAAATGTAGGCTTGTCCAAATTGGGCCTGGACAGGCGCCTGGTCCTGACCTGGGAAAAGCACGGGTTTTCGGGCCAAATCAGGCTTCGGATCCGTGTTCGAGTTGGCTCGGTGCAACCCAAAGTACCCGGGTCCAGGTCTGGCCTGGTCCTGGCCCAGTCCAAACGGTCAAAAAACTAACCGTTGGACCATCCGGCCCGGACCCGACCCGATTTGGTCTGCCTAAATACCCTGAAACGGCTATTTTTAAACAATTTTTTTTAAAAAAAGGGAAAATAACCAGGCCGACCCGTTGTCCAGCCCTTTCCGGCCCGGACCCGACCCGGGCCCACAGTGTTCGGGTCACCCAGTTTGCCAGGCCCGAATCCGGATTTCTTGCCCGACCCGGCCCGAATGGACATACCTAGCTAAACGCATGCGGTAATGTGAGCAGAACCTGGCCCAAAGACAGACGAGAACCGAAATGAAAACATACACACAGGGAGAGGGAGAGAATACGCTGTTCTTTCCTGTCGCGTGCTCATACGGCTATAACAAGCATACAAAGCCTACGCAGCATATAACAGGATCAAGAGCGAAGTCGGTGAGCAGTTTCGTAAAAATCTGAATTTATGTAGCATATTATAGTAATATATTCATTTTATCTAACTCTTCATCAACTGTAACACGTAAAATAAAGGTGTAGTAGTTTAAAATATATCAAAAGATTAATGAAAATAAAACAAAAAGTGGTGATAGCACGTAGTTATTACTAAAAAAATTGCCTCACACAGTTAAAGAAGGGGAATATTTTTACACTCTTTAACTATTTTCGAAAATTAAGCATGGAAACCTTTTAGTATTACAAGTAAATCGATCCTACCATCCAAACTATCCCCAGTCGCCTCGCCAACTTCACTCGATGTATGTTAGGCCAAATGTTCTTGGTAACGTAATCAATCAAATCATTATAGTTTCAAATTTGGGTCTCCAAATTGTTAGGCCTCTTTAATTTTACCCCTCAATCGGAAGACTGTTAAAATTTTAACAGTGTTTAGGGTAAATTACCACCTCGAAAACCCTATTTTATTTGAATGACACAGAGAAATTTTCAGGGGGGGGAATCTTAATCCTCCTCCTCCCCCTATTTCTTTCTTTGTTCCCCTATTTAATTTTACCCCTCAACGGTGAATCTTCACCGCAGTGAGTGCAATCAAAGCCCTCCAAGTCCAAAAGCACAAAGTCGACTGCGTGCTCTCGATCATGATCTACAAATGACATATTCACATTGTTCTATATTAATTTAAAGCCCTATTTCGTCGATGGCATGTTGGAGAGAACACAGGAATGAAAAAGAGTGGAGGAATCCATGAGAGCGAGAGAGTCGCAGAGAAACTACATTCCTTGGTTTTAATTAATTTACTAGAGGTGAATTGAACATTTCAGAAATTCAAAATTAATTTAACGGGAAACTCCAACAAGAATCTTCAAAAGTTTGGAAATACAAGGATCATGAGGGCAGATTTAAAAGATACGGGCAATTTGGTGGGTATATATATATCTGAAAATCCCTACATCTTTATAAAATTTCGCGTTTAAAGAGAAGTTGGCTCCACAGGAAATTCGGAGGCGTTTGGGGGTCAAAAATAAATTACAGTATAAGCGTTTCTAAAAGCAAACAAAAACCCTGAACTGAGAGTTAATTTGAGCCACCTACAAAATCACCCTAAAAAGATGGCATTACCTCCTCCCCTTAGAAGACTCTTGTACGTGATGAACCTAATGTTTTCAATTGATCATTCAATCTCCCCGTCGGCATCAGAACTTCCAAAACGGAGGAGGAAGAATCTGAATCTCCGCCTGCCCTCTCCGTCATCGAAATTTCTAAAAAACGGAGGGAGAAGAATCTGAATCTCTCCCTGTCCTCGCCGTCATCAACGATGACTTCATCGAAAGATGAGATCCTCGTCAGACTGCCAATCAAATCACTCGTCAGATTTCGGCAAGTGTCAGAAACATTGATGGAGTCGGATCCGAGATCGTTTCTTTTCTAAAACGTCCGGCCTCATCGGCTTAGGCTCCTATCGCGGCTATTTTGCCGAAGATAACTACTACGTGCCTCTTCCCGGCGGCTTTAAAAATCTAGCCTTGTTGCCGTCGGCATCATCATCATCGCCTCATGAAAGTAAGCCCGTCCTTCGCGACTCATCCAATGGTCTCCTACTCTATGAAATCCTCAGGTACTTAGATTTCTCGAACTAAACTTCACAAAGCCATCATTAACTATAACATGTGTTTTTTTTAATAACATTTTCATAGTGCGTAGACAATAATCCTATCGGCAAAGGGTTAAGAGAGGAGTTAAAGAGAAGAGGGTTCAGGAGGATGATGATTAATGTAGATAATCCATCATGAGAGGTTAAAAATATTTTCATTCCATTCACCTTAAATAATTAACATGGGGCCTAGTTGCACTTAAATAGTTTACTGTTTCAGATATTTTGTGTATATACACCCCCCAACTTGTATGGGTCGTTCTAAGTATAAAACCGTGATCTGATACCCTTGGTTATGCAAACGTGAGAATTTTCTTCGAAAATTTTTATGTGACACATGCTAATTTCAGAACAGGTTTTTGATAAATTTAATAGTAGATTTAACACAAAAATAAAAAAAAAGGTTAAAGTAACATTAGCATGTGACCATTGCATGAGAATTTTCAAATATAAATTCTCACATTTGCATAACCAATAGTACCAAAGTGCAATTTTCAGAAATTTAGGGTACTTAAATGCAACCACAAATACAACTCAGGTTATATGCGTGCAAAGGTTAAAGTAACATTAGCATGTGAACGTTGCAGGAGAATTTTCAAATATAAATTCTCACATTTGCATAACCGAGAGTACCAAAGTGCAATTTTCAGAAATTTAGGGTACTTAAGTTGCAACCACAAATACAACTCAGGTTATATGCGTGCAAAGTAGGTGAACTACTACAAGGTATTCAAGTGCAGTTAAGCCTTAAGATGGAGAATTAAGGTTGTTGTGTTTGGCAAATGAAGAAAAGTGCTCACAGGGAGCTATATTTATATGTCGCACACTGAAAATAGTTTTAAGTTCCTTCTCGGCTCACGTAACGATCTTCTATTGAAGCCGCTGCTACTTGGTACACAACCCGACGACCAAGCAACTGATCCGACTGTCTCCTGCGCCAACTCAGTTCAAGTTCGAGTACCAGTATGCAGCAATTGATTTAGATCCACGCAGCTCCCCACCCCAATTTAAGGTCGCCCGATTGATCACGATATTTCCATCGGTCGTGCTTCAACTCTTCTCA